ATCATCATCAGCATGATACCTCCTTGAGTCTCTCTCTCTCTCTCTCTCCATAAACTTTTTTCTTCTCTTTCAATATTCTCTTTTTTCTCTCTGTGTCCAACTTGCATGGAAAACATGATATACAGAGAGAGAGAGAGAGAGAGAGAGAGAGAGAGAGAGAGAGAGAGAGAGAGAGAGAGAGAGAGAGAGAGAGAGATCATTTTCTTCATGATAATTATGATTATCATGTTTTATACACAGAGGAGGTTGGTGAGCACCAACAGAGATTTGATTGAGATTATTCAGCCACGCATAACCCAGAAAGAGGCTTAAAAATATCTCATAGCTTATCCAATTCAATGTGCATGGGGTGAGGCGGTGGGTGGGTGGGTTTGGTGTATACAATATTGTGTATACATACCGGGTGTACATATCATCAAAATAAGAAAATCATATTCAATGTTCAACAATCATGTCTCCTGCTTTTTCATTCCTCATGTACAAATACATTATTATCAATTCTCTGAGTTTCCTTCCGTTTTCATGGTGACAGCAAAGAAAAGTAAAAGAGGAAGAAAAAAAACTTTTTTCTCCATTAAAAATTTATTCAGTTTCTAATCTGAACTGAGCATTGAAAATGAATAAGAAACTTTTTTCTCAATTAAACTGAGTCTCTCTCTCTTTCTCTCTCCTCGAAATAAAGTTCTAACGAACTGTTTGTATGCCTCGAATTAATCCATTCGATTAAATCATTGATTTTCGTCTAATTTCACCTAATTTTTTTTCTATTAGTACAGTTAATTGTTGGTAGAAAATCAATGAGAAAGCTAATTTTTTCTGCGAAAATTATGAGCTTAATATTCATGATAATCAATGTTACATTAAAATCTGATCAATATTCATCACGCAACAATTGGGATACAAAGTTTTCCAGTAAAGATAAAGAGAGATAATCAATTTCATGATAACTTTTTGATATCTAAAATCAACTGAAATGAATAATTAACATGGCAAAGAAATGGCAAGAAATTGATGGTTTGAGCTGAGAATCATGATAAATGTTCAAACGTATAAAGTATGTGAGAAATAAGAATACAAAATGTATACAAAATTTCAAAAATTGTTTCAATTGTCTGATTAAGATGAAGATAATTTCTCTATGATAAATTCAATTGAAAAAGATACAGAATTTTTGTTTTCGAATATTTTTTTTTGATAAATTGTTTAGTTTTCTTCATCTTCTTTCCTTCATGTAATTAATTGTCTCCAAAAGTGAATTGATGAAACAAGTAGGTTGAGTGGGAGAAAAAAGAAAGTTCATCATCATCATGAAGAGGAAATTGTTTCCGTGTCCATGGAAATGCTACAAATGAACAGTCTGAAGATTCTAAGAATTCAGAGTTTATAGAGAAGATGAAGAAGAGAGAGAGAGAATGATGATGAATATGATGATGATGGAAGATGAGAAGGGGAAAGATTGAAAAAGTATATTCAGTGAGAGGGTGGGAAATTCATTCGTGTTCATTTTACTCGGAATGAGAATTCTGGAAAAACAAATCCGCAATGTTGCTTCTGTCTAAACAAGAGTTTTTCATGATGAAGATGAAGATGAAAAGGATGATGACTCTCATCTTTCGTCTTCTTTTTCATTCTTGAAACTGCCTTTTCCTGCTCTCTCTCTCTCTTTCATCTCCTTCTCTCCCTCTCCTGAGATGATGTCGGGAAAACTTTCTGCTCACTCCTTTAATCAAGCTAATGCACTGGAACCATGATGATGATTATCATCATCTTCATCCTCAGAGATACAAGTAATTCTTTTCTCTTCTCCATCATCTTCTTTATTTCTCATCCAATCCAATATTCTTTGTCCTTTCTTCTTTTCAACATCTCTCACATTCTATGTCACCAAAAAGTACAGTTATACATCTGAAGAGAGAGAGAGAGAGAGAGAGAAAAGTGAGACTAAGAAAATATATTCGATAGTCTCACTTGAGTTCATTTTTAAGCGACCAATGTAAAGATAATCTCAACATTTTTCATCTCCTCAAGATCATCAATTTCAGTGAATAATCATCATCATCCAAAAAGCAAAAGAAGGGTAAATGTAACCATCATCATCATCATTATCATGGATGAGGTTGTTATATCTTGCAAATAAATGTTCATGAGGATGATGAAAATGAATTGAGTTGAAAATGGTTTCATCCATTGCGATCATAATGATTATCATTAAATTGATCACAAACAATATTAACCAATTGTTGTGATGGGTTGAGTTTTTTTCATCCTTTTAACCAGAAACAAATAAACATTGAGAATGACCATTGAACCAGAATTTATCATTTTCAACATTGTGTGTAAATGAATGTTATCTTCAAACATCATCATGTTATCATCACCCATGATTAATATCAACATTACATGTTAATTCTGTCAAAAAGATTTGAATTAAACAGAATAAGATAAATGAGTTGACCAAAAGTGAGAGAGAAGAAGAGGAAAAACGAAAATGCTTTTAAAATTCTTCCTCTTCCTTATCCTCCATCATCAACAACTCACTCCCACCTCTGACTGTCCATCTCTCTCTCTCTCTCTCTCTCTACCCATTGTTTAGTTAAATGTCCATTTTGAAAAACACAAGAACTCAAAATAAAAGCACCAACTCCCTTTGGTCAGTTTGTGTCCAATCTTTAGTTTTGGCGAGTAAAAAAGTTATTTCCGATTCCGTGATAACATGATAACTATAAACATGCAACCATCATGATGATGACCACTACCACTTCATTTTTTCCATGTCCAGCTATTATACTTAATAGAGAGACAGAGAAAGAAAGAGAAAGAGATGCAGAATGGTCAATAAATGTGTCACCATGGTCAAGGAGAGGATATGGTTCAATGTTTATCATTTCATTAATTTTAACTGAATGATAAATGAAATTATCATGTCTCATGCTTAGGAAATTGAGTAATTTTTCATATTTTTTGTTCCAGTGTTTCCATGTTGATGATTAGTTAATTTTCCCATGTATTTGTCTAAATACAAAGTAAATTAGTTAACTTGTTGATTGTTACATATGAAAATTACCTTTCTGAATCAATGATAAATTTGCATGTTGATTAGTGTATCATGTTGATTCCAATGATCACAATTAAAACTGATTTAGCTTAATGAATAAATCTCAATTAATGAATGAAACAATTATTCACAATTATTATCATCATTTTATTATTGTCATTTATTTTTTTATGTTCAATTAGCATGATAATAAATTAATATAATTTAAATGATCCCAGATTAACGGTTTAATGTGTGAAAATGGATAATCCATCATCGGCTTACTTAAAAACCAATTGATTTAAATGTTTACTTTACTGATGAAGATGAAGATGAGGGAAGATAAAAATGATCTCTCACTTTCTTGGCACTAATAGTTCATCAATTTCAAATAAAATATCAATACATCATCGTCTTATCATCATCATGGAAGATAAGAAAGTGATGGAGGGATGATAATGGTAAGCGGATGATGGCGATAATGATGCAAGACATGAGGAAGATGCTAATTGAGTGAGATGAAGACAACAAGTGAAATTGTTATCATTTAAAATATTTTAGAGAGAGAGAGAGAGAGAGAGAGAGATACGGATGATGATGATGATCTGATAAGAAGATGAGGCGAGGGAGGGAAAATGATGTAAATTGTGATTATGAGGATGAGGAAGAAGATGAAGAAAAAAGTACAACATCCTTTTTCCTCTATTTATCCTCATCTTCGTCTCAACGTCAATACACCGATAGATAATATTTATTATTATATCTAAACTCATCTTCATCTTCATCTTCATCTTCTTGTTGCCCACTTGTGTGTATTCAAGTTTCTATTTTTTTTATATCATTTTACTGGATTGAACTAAGATGGATCCATGACAGCCTGAGAATCCAAGCTAATCCATCAAAATCATCAAACCTTACGGCACAAATTACCGGAACCGCTTCATTACATCACGTCATTGTGATGATAAGAAAGAGAAAGATGATGATGATGAGGATGAAAAAAAGAGTAAAGAAAATGATGAAGGAAAATGTGAAAGAAGAAAGAAATAAAAAGGAATAAGGCAAAAGAGAATAGAAAATATATAAAGAATGTTTATTATATAAAGGAAAATAAGATGATGATGATGATGATGATGATGATGGCAGAAGAAGAGATTGAAAAGAAGATGAAGATGATGATGATGAAAAAGAGGAGGAGGAATAACCATTATCAGGGGAAGAGGATTTTCGGATTTATAGGCAAGGTGAGATATGCTGCTGGGTTCGAGCCTATAAAATATATGCACTGAAATCTTACAACTTGAGTCTCTTCATCATCATCAACATCATCCTTATCTTCATCTTCATCTTCTCACCTTTTCTGTTTCTCTCTCACTGGAAAAATTTTGCTTCCCTTTGCTTTTCAAAGAGACGAAATGTTTATTGAAACCTTTTCTTTTTCTGTTACCAGAGAAAATTTTGTTTCATTTTGATTAACATTTGTGAATTTCCATGATGAGTTCACTAATTAATCTGAAATTCAAGGTTAACAAATGACAACTAATCATCGATTGATTTTCCATTTTTGTAAATATTCCGATTCCAGTGAAATTTAGGCGCGAAATTTTTCTCTCATTAAGAATTCAAATTTAAAATAAAGAAGAAAATGTTAATGAATGAATGAATAGAGATTGAATCGAGTTTTTTTTTGAGAAATTTAAATTTCTTTTCTTCTTTCATTTGCTTTTGAAATACTATCATGAACAAATAAATATTTATTCGATAGTTTCATGGGTCTCATTTTTTTCGAGTATAATTTTTTTTCTTATATATATATAGTTTAATTATCGTATGTAAAACAAGATTGATTTTGGTGAATGAAAAAATTGTGCTGTGTAAATGTTGCCCAATCACCACCACCGGAGGGGAGATTTCATGGTGAGATGTTGGTTCTGAGATGAAGATGAAGGAGGTGATGCTGATGAAATTGATTCTCTTAGTAGAATTTTTGTTTTTTTTTCTTTTACAATTTTCTGTTTCAAGTTTACATGGAGAAGAAAGAAAGCAGAGTTTTTGATAATCATGAGAATGATGAAATAATCATCATGGTCCATTTGAGAGAGAGAGAGTTAGAGAGAGAAAGTTAGAAAGAGAGAGACAGAGAGACACACTTTTGCTCTTTTATTTATAAATCGTAATGTTGACCTGAGTGTGAATGAGAATCAGAATCTGGATCAAAATTGGTCTGAATTTGATTATAATCAACAAAAGTTTTCCATGAATGATAACTTTGAACTTCTATTGGATGAGGAATCTCATGTTGAACTGGACTGGTTGCCACCAGTGGGACACCCTGCATGTTGGCGATACTCTGTAATTGTCTTCCATCCTAAAGGGTTAATAAGAAAAGGGAAGAAAGAAAAAATTCCAATAAAAATTCATTCAACGATAGAAACATTTCATTGCTGAAGATGAGGGATAATCTTCATTCTGGAATCAAAGGTGATGAGGATGGAGATGAATGAGAGAGGAAAATTGTTACATTTGCTATCTACTGGATTATGGATAAAAACAATATACAAGTTGTGCCTAAGTGTTTAGTTTATTTTCAAGAGGGCCGGTCACACACACACACTCTCTCTCTCTCTCAGAAAAACCCACCGAGACATCGTGACACCCTCTACATGAAGATACAATTAACAGATAATTGTAGTCTGATTAACTTCACCTTGGCGGTTTAATTGTTTATCAGTCTGATTAAAATGGGAATAAAAACAGGTAGACAAGTGCGACTTGAGAAAGCGATAATTTTTTTTTTGATTACCGATTAATATGATTGATTGTCGGAATCTTCATTCACCTCTCTCACTTACTCTCTCTCTCTCTCGCCGTCTCTTCCTGAATGATAACTCACTTCAGAGTAAAAGAACTTATCTCAAGTAGATGTTTGTTTTATTTTCCTTTCTCATTTCTTCTCGTAACTATCGGCTCATTTTCAAGGAAAAAAGCGCGACACAAAATCTTCAAAGGGCAAAAGGCTCGATTGTCGGTGGATTTTCATTCTCGCTCGAAACTTGTGTCTACCATCTTATCCCCTCTTCCCCTGAAACTCACTCAATCTCCATGTATTTGTCACAATAAATGTGAAAAGCTTGTTGAATCTAATCAGCCGCTCTCTCTCTCCCTATCTCTCTCATTGAGTGGCAATCACAAGAGTGTAAAGCTACTGTCATCCTTTTCCTCCTCATCTCCCTCTCTCTCATCCATTTTCATCTTTATTAATCACACCATCGTCATCTATTATATTCAGTCTTTACACTCAATTCAATCCAATTGAGAAACTCAAGATTATCTCAGCTCTCGTATGAAACTTATTCATGATAAAAATCATTAACCATCACCATTATTATTATTGTTATAACTACTGAATCTTTCAGTCAATTGATTCTGAATAAGAAATTGAGCTTTTTTTTCATCAAAATCATCGTATACATAAATTCATCATCATCATCATAATGATGATTAACTTGAGGTTTTTATAATAACAACGATAATAATAATAATATGCAACATCAGCATCAGAAATCATTTTCAATTTCATTAATATCTTTGTTGCCATTATCCCACCAGTGGGATAAGGTTGATGGCATAAGATTATTTTTCTTCATGTTGGAAACTTTATCATGGTGATTATTATTAATATTCACCAGTCTCTTGTATCTTAATGATAAAATTCAGTATAAGGTTAATAGTTTTCACTGTAATCATTTTTCCTCCCTGATCAATACCTTCAATCACTCAGACAGTCACCATCACCACACACACACTCAGCTCACTCGGTGTTACCATGGCAAAGAAAATCTTATCAGCAAAAGTCATGAATTGAGATTGAAAATTAAGAAAAATTCATTTTTCTTCAGATGAATTAGGTGAACGATTTGATAACAATCAAATAATACTTTTGATTTCATGGTGAAAATTGATCAGTTGAATCGATTCTCAGTCTCCATTGGTTAACTTGTACTCCAAATAATCAATTAATCATCTTGTTGTATAATCAAGATTGAAAAGTTTCTCATGTAGTGATTGGGTTAATTGTTTGGGTAAATACATGTTGATTGAGATGATAATCAATAAGGGAGAGCAAGACAGTTAATTAATTGTAGTTGTGAAAATTTTTCTCCGACAATTAATTACATAATCATGGTAACTATCATTATATTATATCGTGATACTAATCAATTATTACAATCAAATTAATCTTCAATAATCCTCAAAACTAATCCTGATAATCTGATCTAATGAAAGATGAAAAGTTGATTTGATTAGCAGTCATTAAATGATTAGAAACAGTAATCTAATAGGTTTCAATATAAGGATGACCACAAGAATTAAGAAATGATAATATTGTGATAAACTTTTGGTTGACTCAGATTTGACCAGGTAAATGGTCAAGGGAGAGAGAGAGAGAGAGAGACAATTATGATTATTATGACGATGATAAAGGGGAAAGAGAAAAAGAAACAAAAAATTGATATGATAAAATTAGAAGAAAACAAATGAATATATTGCGTGTTGTCGACACGTGACACGCATTACGCGCGTCAAAAAATATTCAATTGATAACATAAATTAAATGGTTGGTGTAGCTGCTCAAATAAGAGGAATAACTTTTAGGGTTTGGGTGGAGGAGGAAGAGGGAAAAGAAATGATCATTGAATTTCGGAGTAGACTAATTTTCTCATGCAGATAATAATAAACATCGATACACACACACCTCGAAATGTTTCACAGAATCGAGAGAGAGAGAGAGAGAGAGAGAGAGAGAGAGAGATCATCATCATTACATCAATTAGAATTATGTCTAAAGCTGAACGAGATGTTGGTGATGATGAGAGAGTGAGTGTGGTGGGTGATGGGGAGAGGATGAAATGGTTTATTTTCAATTAATATCTTCCCTTTAATTCATTGTTATTGTTGTTTTTTTTATCTTCTTCATGGTAACATAACAAACAAATATTATCTTCTTCTTCATCATCATACACACACTCAAGAGTTGGGATGATGATGAGGATGATGCACATATTTGGGATGCGGTTTAACACATTAGCCAATATTATGATGCAGATGATTCAATATCATCCACTGGTCATCCATGCACAAAAGGTTCATTGGCTGAAAATTGTAAATAATTACACTTTAGGTAAAATAAACTGATGTAAATAATCAAACAATCAAATCAATTTTTCATCTGATTTAGTAAATTGATTAGCACGTTTATTTATATATTATAATATGTGTGTGTGACAGTCAGAACTTATATTAGCACTCAACAAACAGATAAAATAAGATACGGTGACCATTGCATGATAAAGTTACTATCATCATCATCATGATATATGCTCACTGTATATATCAATTATTGCATTTGAAAAGTTACCTACAAATTGATATCATGTATATGAGAAAACTAAAAGTTTAAGATGATAACAGAAAATATTTGTAATTATAAAGTTTAAAAAGTTATTTCTCATTTCAAAGGCCAATTTGTTATCATCTTTGCATATTCATTACCAGAGGCGATTCATCATGAATCATATCCTCATCATCTTCATTATAACTGCTACCGGTTGAGTCGGTAATACATCATGTAGTAATCATCTTCATCTCACTATCTCTCTCTCTCTCTCTCTCTCTCTCTTGCTCTCACTCTCCTTCATCATATCACATTCAATTAGTTTCAAAATGAACAGATAATAGGAAAAGCTCACTTTTCCATCCGCATCTCTTTTTCAATGTGGATAGAAAAACAGAAAACAACATTAGCAGAAAAGTTTCAAGTACATTATCATTTGCAAAGATGCTATTTGAAGATGAGGAGAAAAAAGATCAAAAAAATGATGCTGTAAAGTTAGAGAGAGAGATGATAAAAAGTATTAATATGAAGCATAGAGAGAAACTGAGGAAGAAAAAAAATAAAACTTGAAGCATATTTTGTTACAGGGTAAAGATTATTCTCTCTCTTTCTCTCCTGGTGATGATAATGAAAATGAAGATGAGGACTGGGATGAGGATGAAGAGATGGTGATACAAAGGCGTTTGATATAGTCAAATACAATTAGACTAAACTACATTGTCTGGAAATTAGGTTAAACTGTGATTGACAAAATCTATTAGGATCTGAAGAGAAAGAGATGAAAAAACAGTTTCTTTTTCATCTTCTCATCTTCTCATCTGTTCATCATCTTCATTATGTGTATTTAGACTCTGATTGAGTTTTCTTCCTCTTTTCATCTTCATCTTCATCCTCATCCCTCTCTCCCTCACTCTATCTCAATCTTTTCAAAGCCTAAACTATTATACGAATGATAAATTGAATTAAATTAACTGATTGTAATAATGAAATAATAACATCGCTTGCGGCTCATTTAGTTTCAGTATCTTTTCATTATTCAGTTAATATAATATTTTTTCCCCTCATCAATTTGAATCATTTTGAATTTTTTTCCAATACAATTTAAGGTGTAATAGTGATTGATTTTATTATCATGATGATTTCATGAACAATTTATACATACCTCATGTAATAATTTGATTGTTAATTTGTAGTAATTGTTTAACTTGATTTGATATTTTCCCTTTAATTTGCTAATAACAGATTAACTTGATTCAGTAGACTCATGATGATGATTATTGATTATTTTCTTTATCACCTTTCAAATGATCATATTTCTTAATCATTTACTAATTGTAACTATGTGATAATATCGGTAAATTGTTTACGTTGACAATTTCATCTTTCATGTTGATAAAAACATGTTAATCAATTGGTATCAACAAATAAGAAGGTTAATCAGATATGATAAAGTTTAATTACATTTCTGATATATTAATTAGTTGATAGAGAAACAAATTCCAATATATATTCAAACGATTAATTAAGGTAAATCAATTAGTAGTTTTCTCTATCTTTCTAACTGAATTTCCTGTTTACCATGAGGGAAAATCAAGATTATCTCTGATCCATGAATGGATAGATAGTCTAACACATCATGGTGATGATGATGGTCTTCAGTAAGGTGATGATGTCTTACTTTTTTGCTTTGTTTTGACAAGAGGGTTTAGATTTATTGCCTCAGGGCTTTGTAGTTGCATATTCAAAATTCAGACTAGGAGATTATCGCTCTCTCTCTCTCTGCTCTCTCTTTCATAGTTTATGAAAATTTGTCCATTTGGGTGGACAATTGTTTCTGTGTAGTAAACAAAGCAACTTCCATAGTCTTTTGTCTAATAAGTTTGCATGGGTCAAGAAGGTCACGATTATTAAGATAAACAATCGAATAGCTGACAAAATGAAAGAGATGAAGATGAAGACGATGATGATTATGG